GCCAAGCCGACCCCTGAATTAGATAGTCTCTACCTTTTTGACTTGCTGTTTATTGTTAAGCCATTTTCATTTCGCCTTTTTTAGTTTTGTTGACAATATAATCTTTATTTTTCCAGTTTTTCTTATGGTTTGCAAAACTGCAAACTCAGATGGATCAGGATGAAGGAACTAAATACAGGTATGTGTGGCTTTTGCATTTATTGGATATCCTAATTTTTAGATCACAATCATCAGAAGTATTTCAAAATCCATGTCTTTATACAAACAAAATTAAGGTACAAGGAAAACTCCCACTAGCCACATATTCTTTGACAACAGCCAGAGAGAAGATTTGGGGTCATTACAACAGTAATTGGAAGTTGTGTGATTAAAACAAAAAGAGTTACTTTATTATTAATAGGTTAGGAGGGACAGAGGTTGATTTTTGGATAACTCCAGAAAGGACTAAGTTCAAATAGGAGTTTTACAGGAGTTCTAAGATGTCTGTATTGTGTTTCTTTAGAAGGAGAAACATTCCTAAGAGAGTTTAAGGATGGCTACCTAGATTGTGTGTAACTTCATAGTTCTGTTTGTGTATCTTGATAGCATGGGGGGAATGACAGTGGACTCTTTCTAGTTGATTTGGGGGCTGTGGGTTGAATGTTCACAATTCAGTGTGTTGTTTTAGGCTGTTATTGATGGCTGTTATTATTAGGTGGTATGTTAAGATTCTTTTTTAACGTGTTAAGGTTTTTTGATGTATGATCCTATTTAATCTTCATAGCAACTGTGTGAGGAAAGCTGCTACTAGCCCCATTTTACAAGATCAAACTGAGGCCTGGAAATACTAAGTATCTTGCTCACTGTCATGCAGACTGGGGACTGATCAGATCTTCTAATTCCAAATCCAGAATTCTTCCCATGATATCAAACCATCCTTCAAAGGTGTAAATAATTTGGAGGATTGACCTTACTTGATGCTTCAGGATGGCTTTGGTGACCTGTTCTCTGGAAGTTGAGCCAGTGATTGATTGCTTTATATTTGAAAACCCAAATTATGGCTTCAGGGCTAATTGAGCTCGTTTTGTTGCATATAATATCAATGATTTGCCTTTTTAAGTCTTGAAACAGTGGTTATGACAGCTTTTGGTACATTTCTGAATATAAACAACTTTTTGTGAGTAGGTCAGACCTCCCTCCTGAAATTGAACCATTTTGGGAAAAATGAGACTGTTATTTATTGACTTTGCTTATTAGGGGAAAATATTATTGCCAATCCCCTTTTGGTTCTGTTTTCTAGACAGATGAGGGATTACTTGTCTGGGTTTCAGGAGCAGTGTGATGCTATATTGAATGATGTAAACAGTGCTCTTCAGCATCTGGAGTCATTGCAGAAACAGTATCTTTTTGTGTCCAATAAGACAGGAACCCTACATGAAGCCTGTGAACAGCTCCTGAAAGAACAGGTAATTTGGAGTAGAGAGAGGGTCAGTAGTTATATTTAATGTTTTATTTTTAAATAAATACGATTTAATTTTCTTAATTTCTTGAAGTAGATGCTGAGGGAACACTGTACTGTGTGAGGCCATGTGCTAATTATGCAGATTGTTAACTTGACAGTCTACTTTTATTCTAAATAAGTTCATGTAAACAAGGGCAAAAGCAAGCTTTCCTATGTTTTGATCTATTAGGTATTAGTATAGTTTCAGATTGTGGTAGATATGTAAGTTTTCTTTCTGTCCACTCTTTATTATTGACACTTTTCAGACAAGCATAGTGACTGTAATAATGGTGGAGTTTGTGAAAAGATCAATTGAGGGTGTGCTTACAGTTTATGACTTAGAGTTAGAACATTTAAATTACTTTATTTATCTCCAGATTTTTCTCTGTATACGTCTGTGTTTTTAAAATGTGATCATTTATTATTTTACCAAAAGATCATACAAGATTTACTGTAATAATTCTTGCCTTTTTTAGTTAAGGATTACAGAAACCCTATATTTGAGCTTTATTCTGAAATCTTATGTCTGATATAAACATCCATGTCTAGTATAAATTTATTCAGTGTAATATTGAGACTGGAGTGTTGATTCTCTTATTCTTACAATAATTGGTTTTTCTCTTTTAAAAAATGCAAGTCAGAACTTGTCGATCTGGCTGAAAACATTCAACAAAAGCTTTCGTATTTTAATGAATTGGAGACTATTAACACAGTAAGTACTGTTTTTCGCTTTTTGTAAAGTTAGTGATTTTTACTTTTATATTTCTTTTTCTTAGTATAATCTTTCAACTTATAAATTGACTTGAGTATATAACTTAATAGTTTGCTTGCTGATACTCCCATTTGTAGCCAATGGAGATGCCATTACCAGTTCAGATTTTTTCAAATGTGATTTAAGTACTAATATGTCTTTTTTAAATCTAGTAGTATTATATCTTAAATATTATTATTATTATTACATGTATTCAAAA